CTCTTTCACAAACTTCATACAGATCGTATGATGGGAGCAGGTACGGACGGGTGTGGCGGCAGCCACGGATTCACTTTACTTCCTCTCTCCCTTCCTCATAAAGATCGACAAAGCAGTCAGACGGCGTGGAGGGGTTGCATGAGCATGAGCATGAACGTGAGGATAACTAATACCAAAATAGCCTACCGTACCGGCCGGTATATTGTGTGCCTGAACATCTGCCCAAGCATGAGTCTGGACTACCGACCCGATCGGTAGCAATACCGGTACGATGTCGTACCGGCATTACCCGGTAGTACGAAACTAACCTCCCAGGAATAGCAGAAGATTCAGGGTTTTGACGTGCATATTGGCTATACCGTATTTCCTGCTTTGCTACTATCGGTGGTTTGCGTCATGCACGGCATCGGCATCTCATACGTAGACACATCTCATAAGCATGTGGACAGGGGGCGTGGTTTATAGAACAGGACATGGTTTAGGTACTGTAATTCCAAGACTTGAGACAGCGTTTATGAGTTCTGTTGTATCGGTAGGATTATCGTTCGTTTCGTATATCGGAGTGTTGGCGCCGAGTGGACGACTCGTTCCATTCAGCTCCAGCTCCAGGTTATTTTAAGCAGCGTGTTATATCTGGGGGGTATTTTGGGTATGTATTAGATCCGTTTCCGTTGACGGATGGAGAAAGCCGTTACACATGTGGGGTCGGGGGTGTGAGTTTTATGCATAACATAAGATATCATGGCAGATACATATAGACACACGGGCGTTTTGTAATGGCTTTATGCGATGGGTTTATGGTTCGAGGGGGTTGGGGTCTGGCTTGGACTTTTTCTAGTTTCGGGAGATGCGGCAGGCGGGCGGGAGGGTAAGATGGCATGGATGGTTTACCTGGTTGGTGTCGTTCGTTTGATGTATGGGCACTACCTATGCGCTGTGGGAGTAGAGTTTCGGAGCTATTGTAACACTTGAGGGTGATATTGAGAGTAGAGTTTGGACATGCTCGATACTCTGTCGGTTTCTTCCATTTGCGCATCGACCTCCTTGGTTTCGTTGACATGGAGGTAACTTGTGGATTGCCCAAGTGTTGTCTGAAGAGATTCTCGGCGCATACGAGTCTAAGCCTGAATGGACCATAGACCTTAGGATGTGCGTTTCTGGCTTATGAGCTGGGGCGTATGGGCGTCCAGATAAGGGCGAGGATTACTAGTCAGGCTAGTAGGTTGTCGGGCCATCGTCATCCTTGGTAAATGCATGGCCCGATGTACAGTTCTGTCCCAGTGTTTACTTCACATAGCTGCTATCAAGTACCGTCGCGTCATTAGTACATTCAGGCGCCCTCTCATAATTACAACAACCTCGTCACTCACTCGCCATGTCGAGCGTTAGAAACAAGGCTATATGAGAGTATGCTATAGCTGTGGTTGGGATAAACTAGTCGCCGTTGTGTTGGCGGGGACCAGTCCGGTATTCAAGATTCACCCATGCCGCTAGCCGCCTCGCATTCGTATCTGTGATGCTCGGAAATGAGGATTCTGATTCAGCAAGGCAACAGTATGAGAAAGCCAGTCAAAGCGAAAAGAAACGTATAGCTCGTGCAAGTCTCTGCATGTGTGCGGAATTTTTCCCCAGGGCCATGCATGTTTCTTCAGCCTAGGCCTAGCTCCTTCGCGTTGCAGTTGCTTTTTTCTGTTAGACGGCAAATTTCACGTGATGGGGCGGCACTCTATGCTGAAATGAAGTGGAGATTAGTTGGTAGGTAGTGTCGATAGCCAGGCAACTAGCATGACGTTGAGATGGGCACATGGAGTTGAAGATCTAGCAGGGTTTTGCAGTGTAGTCACACATGGCGGCGTCGCGATTGGATGAAAGGGTGTAGCAGTCGTTTGAGCTGAAGAGGCTGGTGTTGCCCAGACGGATAACGGTGCGTCCAGGCCGCAAGGGTGTTTTCTCGGAGTCTGGGCAGAAAGAGGAAAATCGCATGCCACAGGATAGCATTTTGCTGCAGGAAGGCGGATACGGAGAGTTTCGATGCCAGTAGTCTGTGAGTTTCGAGCCTGATCTCTGGGTCGTCGAGGTTGTCGGCGCAACCCTGATGGGCGCGCAGCACGTGGGTCCGCTGCTGCGGGACTGCAGGTGAGAATCGTCGACCTGGTCCTGGACCACTTGCAATATGATGACTCGAGCAATCGTGGTATTGGAAACTTCCATGGACGGGCGGCACATGTTCTGCCGTAATATTTTCCCGCTTGCGCTGACTGCTTGCAAGATGCTCGGCATTTCAGTAGCACCGCCGGTCTGCGTCACGTGTCGGGCGCCGAATCCTTCACCTGCAATGTCCAGCCCGTCTGAGGAGGAGGCGAGAACAGATGGGTCAGCAAGGTTTCGTCCCACGTTGCACGACACATCTAGACGTCGTCAGTTCGCCAGTCGTCAGCACAAAGGCATAGTATGGATGAGACGACGGTCAACTGGTGTCCTCGATCATGGTAGGGCCCACACAGAGGCCCACTGCGACCATCATGCACGGCAGTCGACCCGTCAGCAGTGAGCAGCGGCCGATTTGCCATTGCATTGCGGAATTCCGCCATATACCTACCCCATTGCAGGCATGGGGTATAGGGCAGAACACGACATGGCCATCTGCTAGGTCTCACTATTTCTGTCAGGGCCCATGACGATATCAATCCCGTCCTGCCTTGATTCGGCGTGCAGTGGCAGCGCACAAGCCAAAGAGAAAGACTCCTGTTGGACAGAGGTGCATGGCACGACACCCGAAGTTACCTCATGGCTGCTCCTGGAGAGCCGTCTGGTCTGACATTAGAGGGGGGGCACATTACAGCTCGACCTGATACTGCACCAATGTGTCGCTGGCTTGCGGGTGCAGGTGGAATGGCGCTAGAGCAAAGAGGGGGCAAATGCCAATCGTGCCACTTGGCTGCCAGCAACAGCATCGGTGCAGTCTGTGCAGATGACGGTGGCGCCCTCCAGCCCCGGGGAGACGCAGTCTGTCTACCACGGTCACGGGACAGAAATCTCAGAGCAGCCGTTCTCCCTTTCAACGGCGGTTTCCCTGCTCCAGCGTGAAACGAAGCCGATGGGGCTTCGCACGGCTGGCTAATCTGTGGCAAGCCTCAAGATTAGGGCGGGTATGTGGTTGAATATCAAATTGTTGACATGTTGCAAATAGGCACATTACATATGGATGAGGCTTGAAAGTCTAAAGGGCTGCCACGGGGCCATTGCACTGCATTGCATCGGAGCACTCCCCACTTCAGGAATCAGGAGAGTGCATAGTGGAGTTTGCGGAAAAGTCCATGGACCATAGATAGTATACAGGCCCTGCCCTATACTAAACGACACCCTTCTGCCAGGCCTGAGTAAGGGGATTTAGGTGTAGCGCCTTCAGATGCGCAGACTAGGCCTGACAGCCGCCCAGTCGCCGACGAGTGACCTTCTTGCTGGCTGGTCCAAAAGCCCCACATCTTCTCCCCACCTTGGATGGTGGATTTTGGGGCCGGCGCATATCATGGCCGGGTTGGTGCTTGACTCCAGCTAGGCTGGCCCCGTCTGCTGCAAAGGCGATCCACGACCCTCACCGATTCCCAACTGCTCGCGGTCACGGTCGCCCTGGCAGCAGGCCTAAGGAGTAGTTGACAGGCGGGATCCACGCCGGGGGATGGGTCAAGACAGGCCCCTATGCGGCTTTCTGGAGCGACAGTTCCGGCAGCCTTTTCAGCCCTCTCCAGACGTGTGATTGCTTTGAAGGATGCTCGAGTGGACCAGTTCGCACCGCGATCAAGCGTGGGATCGCAGAGTGCGTCCTGCGTCGAGCTAATCCATGGCTGCGCGGAAGGCGGAAGCGTTTGTGTGCACGGCCATGGCGGCTTGGGAGAGCTCCTGGGAGCTCCTGCTGGGAGACAACTCAGCGGCTTGCAGCTTGCTTTTTGCCCTTCTCTGCACCCCGGCTTTGGATGCAGACGTTTGATGATCACTCAACTATCCGTTCTTGGCTGAGAAGATTGCTTCTTTGTCCAGACTAAACACAAGGCGGCTGCTGTCACGGCCCGGCTTTCTCACACAACCACTGCCTGCGCCCCTGTTGTGCCCTCGTCCTCGACGACTTTGTCCAGTCTCAGTCGCAGTCTCAGTCTCAGACAGGCTCTGCACATGCCTCCATTGTCACCAACTGTGCTGCCGCCATCTCTCTTGGTCCATTGCCGGCATGCCTCAGGTCCATCACATACGTATTTAAGCCGCCTGGTGGTCTAGCTGCTAGCTTGGGCCAACACCCGCGCGCCGAATTCAGCGTGCATTAACCTAAATCACGGCTTTGCTCCTGCAAGCCTGAGTCCCACGACTATATCCCTTCAAAATCCCGTACCTGGCGCCCGAGCCATTGTCACACCCGTGGACACGGCGATCGACCTCGGACCCTTGCAATTGAATGACGTTGATCTCTTTGGGCAACCCTACCGTCTCCATTTACCATTACAAACAACCTTCACTTCACTCCATCACCGCGCAAACACTCCGGCTCCAAAAATCATGTCTGGCTACTACCCCAACCCAGGCCACAGTATACCGCCACAGTACTACAACATCGACCCCAACACCAACATCCAACATGCCCCACCAAGTGTAATCTCACATGGCTCCTATACCCCAACCCTGCCAGACAACCCATTCCAACCCGTCGCTTCTGGTGCCTTTGTGCAGTACGAGAACGTTGGCCAGCCAAACTATGCCGACCAGTTCGAAGACCTTTCCGGCCCCATGGGCGCTGCGCATGGTGGCAATGGTCGTGCGCGCAGACGGCCAGCGCCGGGCGAGCAGGTCAAACATCGCCGAACTCGGAGCGGCTGCTACATGTGCAGACAGCGAAGAGTAAAGGTATGCAGCGTACGTTCCATGGAGAAGGCGTGACTGATGTGTAACAGTGCGACGAAGCTCGTCCCGTGTGTGAACGTGAGTGCCTTGTCTTGCTTGACTTGCTTTTGCTCTATTTAAAGTGGCATGAGCTGACAGCAGTTGCTAGGCTGCAAAAAGGGTCCCCGCGAATGTATCTACCCAGACGCACAAACCAATCAGAAATCTACGCGCAGTGGGTCAAAGTCGGGCAAACCCTCCTCCATCGATGACCCCTCGTCGCCCGAAGACCACGACGAGGAGACCAAGGACGGGAAACGCTTACCTGTCATTGTTGACGAAGACGAGGATGATGACTACCACTACTACGATGATGACGACGACAATATGTCCAAGAGCCAAGATGCGCGCGACTCATCCCATACCCCAGGCTCATTCCTGGAGCAAAGTGCCTCGCCCTCGACTGAAGCTTCATCCACCGTTCCCCCTCCTGTACGGCCATCGCTGTCTCGCAAAGGCAGCGCACAGCCCGCAACGGCTGGTTCAACGACGAAGAACCCCTCGTCCATGGCGCGGGATCTACAGTTCTACCTTAACTATTTCAAGAACAACATGAGCGTACACCACTACTCTCTCAAACGCGACACAAAGGGCTTCCTAAAGGGCGAATTTTTGAACTGGGTGATGAAGTTTGAGCCTCTCAAATATGCTGTAGCGGGGTACGCCGCATACTTCCATACGCTTTCGCAACCGGATGGCCGCATGTCAACCTTCCTCCAGTTCTACAATGAGTCAGTCTCGCGGCTGCGGACGGCCATTACTAAAAACAAGAAACAAGGGCTTCCAACCTTTCTGACTATATTGCAGTTGGCGAGTATTGAAGTAAGAGCCACGTCAACACACGAACCGCACCCTACTGACATGTTGGGCTCAGGAAATGCTTGGTGATTGGGTCAATCTGATGGGCCACCAAAAAGCGGCATTCGAACTACTCACGCGCCTCTACACACCGGAGACGGTTATACAGTCGGATTTTCTTCTCAAGATGCTACTGTGGTACATACGATTTGATCTGTTCACTAGCTTCCAATCAGGCGGCGAAGCTGCGCTAGGTCGAGAATGGTACGTGGCCGTACACGACTGCTATGCCCAAAAGGTCCGCGACAACCCAGACGACCTCGGAATGCAGTACGAAGAACAGTTCGCATACTCGCGACTGGTAGCAAAAGACTCAAACGACCTGTTTGCGAGAACTGGAAAGGGATTGGTCAGCCCCCAGGATTTTATGGCCCAACTGCCGCTACTCAAAGAAAGAGTAGAAACTCTACGGGAAAATTTGCCGCCAACTTTGACTGACGCAAGCTATAAGATACATAGCATCCCCGGCACTCACGACCCGAATGATATTGTCAACCCTTACGAGCCGGATATCATCTGGGGTGGTAAATTATGGACCACAAACTACCTGCGTCTGGATCTTTGGGGCATTCAGTTCATGTTCGCCATCTCGTCTTCGATGGCTTTGAAGCAGCCTATTGATCCTGAATGGACCAACGAGGCATACAAAGCAATACAAGTGTTCGAGGCCATGTGCGCATATCCAGACGCACCGCTTGGTGCGCAACTAGAAGCGCAAGTCAGTTTTGCGATTTCTGTCATATTCCTGCCCAAGGATGCGAAGACGATGATGTGGGTTCGTCGGACGTTTGCCAAGATCGAAGCGTCTGGGTAGGTACTTTTTCTTATTTCTGTGCGACCTTCACACGCAATGGCGATACAAAGGCACAAAGTTTATGCAAGCAGGATGTACTGACAAATGAACAGTTACGTCTATTCGGATGTGCTCCGCAACCGCATGCTCGAGATGATGGGTATCGGCCCATCAGATTGGTGGCTTCCCAACGATGAAGGCTGTCCTCGGATAATCCGATCCATCAAGGACTTCATCAAGGAACGCACACAAGCGCCCAAGGACCAAGTTTCGGACGACCTGCGTGAGATGCGCGGCATCTTCAGCTCCCTGACTATTTCAGACTCGCCACCCTCGGACAACATGACGGTAACGAGCGGCGATGGCTTGGGGTCAACGTATGGCTCTCCGGATTGGCAGTCGTCAGGCTACGGAAGCGACCGCAAGTCGTCGAATGCAGAGGCCTACCCGCCAGGGTCGCAGCAGCAGTAGACTGTGCAGTAAAGTTTCGAGTCAGTCACAACGATTGTGATGAGACATTGGGACATGTGTATCGTCGACATGCAGAGACACGTCGGCGGTGTTACGCCCACGTTTGCCCAGGAGACGATCTCGTGCAGCTTAGTAGAGAGTATTTCTATCTGAAACGGTCTAACAAGCCTGTCTCGTCCGAGCATTTTCTTTCCGAGAGGCGTTCTGTGACACGTTGATGGACACATGTAGCCCCACCGTGGGGGTTCACTACATATCACGTCTGTACAACGGTTCCCAGGCAAATCAAGACCAAAAAAGGAAGAAGGGAGCGAGGTCGCAGGGTCAGCGTCGGCTTCATGTGGCGCAACGCGTGCTTTGTGCTGGCTGCTCGGTTGCATGTTAGTTTCAACGTCTGTCGATGGGTGTACGAAGAGGCAAGGGATGGGATAGTTGACATGCATGGTGATGTCAAGTTGATGTGTGTGAAAAGAGGGAGATGCCGAGATGTGATTGATAACAGGGTTATGTGGTGGGAAGAAAGGAAATGCATGGATAGAGATGGAGTTGTTTGCCTTTATTGGCATGTGATACTGGAGCCTGAGGCACAAGGTAGAGATGAGCGATTAGTATAGTATATATGACACGACGTGCTCAACACTTTGCTCTTCTGCCACGAGCATTCAACGTGCACGTGCTTATATTTCAGTTACATTTTTTGCTATTTGTGTGATTCCCAAAGTTACGATAATGTCTGAGTGTGGATGGTGGTATACATTGTGAGAGAGAAGGTGCGGACTCGGGAATGCCAATGGGACGGGACCTGAACAGGCTTAGCGTCATGCAGGGATCATGCGGCGCCCTGACAGCTGCAGCGGAGACACATGAAAGTCGCAGGCGGCAGGAGCACAACGACAACAAGGCCCGGTGCACCAGAGCAAGAAACGCATACCGCCTAGATACAACAAAGCACCCGGACGTCCACAATGGAAAATCTCGGCAAGATCTCAGCGTTTGGAAAGAACATTTCGTACGCATGTCCCCGTGCCCCGCCGACGCTGGCCCTGGCCCTGGCTTGCTGCCTGGGAGCAATGCGATGTAGAGGACAGATAGGCTGACAAGGCTACCACAGCGCTTCATTCACCCCTTGGGCAGCACGGACACAGCAATATGTCAAGGAGCAAGTTGGCAATGTCGAGGACAAGGTACAAAGACGTCCCCCACTACCATGTCTAGCCAGCGTTGACCTGAGACATGACAGACTCAACTGCCCCCAGACTACATTGAGCTCGAGAAGCGAGTGGATGCGCTGAAGAAGGTGCACACGACGATGCTCCAGGTGACGTATGAAACACGTGCACTCCCGCCTAGGTGCTCGCTCTGACCGCATACCGTCTAGTTCGCAATACGCCAACGAAGCCTACGACTACCCAGCCAACATCCGCGAGTCTTTCAATGACCTCGGCCGTACCGTATCCGAAAAAGTCAACCTTCTCTCCAGCGCCACATCGCCCGCCGAGGCCCAGGCTGCCCTCACTGCCCCTCCCTCCGCAAAGCCCCAGCCCAAGACCTTCAGCCATGCTGTCGCCCGTGCCGCTCTCAATGCCTCGCATATGCTTACGTCAGAGCAAACAAACTCTAGCGAAGATCCCCTGGCCACTGCCCTTGAAAAGTACGCCATTGCCAGCGAAAAGGTTGGCGAGGCACGATTGGCCCAGGACGCCCAGATTCAGAGCCGCTTCCTCGCCGGCTGGAGTACCACGTTGAACACGAACATACAGTTTGCCACACGTGCTCGCAAGGCAGTTGAGAACTCTCGTCTGAGCCTCGATGCGACCAAGGCCTCTGCCAAGGGCCCTGCTTTTGCCCTGCCCGGCCAGGCCGCCAAGAAGGACTCCATGGACGATGACCTGAGCGAAGAGGCGCGTGCAAAGATTGAGCAGGCCGAGGATGAGTTTGTTGGCCAAACTGAGGAGGCCGTCGGAGTCATGAAGAATGTGTGTTATCTAATCCTACCTACCTCACGAACAAGCTAATCATGATATTACAGGTTCTCGACACACCCGAGCCCCTCCGCAACCTCGCCGATCTCATCGCCGCTCAGCTCGAATACCATAAGAAGGCATACGAGATCCTGTCGGAGCTAGCTCCCGTCGTGGAGCAGTTGCAGGTGGAACAGGAGGTGCGTAGACATCAGTCTGAGTACTAGAAACCAGTAAGAGAACCTCCACTGATTACGCTGTCATCATAGGCCAGCTACCGCAGAGCTCGTGAGGAGTTGTAGATTGACTCTGATGTAGCGACCGAGAAGGGAGGAGTCGTCGCAGCTGATGAGTAATTTGTAGGAGACGTTGCAGTCGAGCTAATCCTTGCTTTAAAGACATATGGCCACTTTACGGGCCATATGTGTTATTCAGTTATTGGTATGCTGGTTTGGGCTATGCTCGAAGTCTACACGGCTGGTTGAGCGGTAGTTTAGGTCTAACTCGGAACCAATTCTATCACCTTTCTTCTCTCCCCCTCCAATATCAATGACCGTGTCTCTCCTGAATCATAATCCAAAAATCACGCATGTCCTTGTTCACTCCAAAACTCCACTCTCATCCCTAAACTTCGCAGCCTGATCCTTGGCAAACTCCGCCATCTTCCCCCCCTCCTTGCTATCCTCGTCCTCATCATCAGCGGGTATATACCCCCTCATAACATTCTCCACATACGCTTCCGGCATCCCACACTTGACCGCATCCTCAATTCCACGATTCATCCGATACACGTACTCTTTCCTCGGCGTAGACGGGCTTGTGCGTTTACGATCGATATAAACAAGCATTTTGATAGTTTGCGTCGGCGGTTTCTCTGTATCTATCTTCCCCCCGGGTGAGGGTACATTCGGACAAAGCGGGTTCTCAGGATCCAAGGCCCAAAAATCACATTCTAGATATTCTTTTGTGTAGGCTGTTGGTACGCCTTCATTTATGTCGAGTTGGGCTTCGTCTGCGGGGAGGAGTGTGTAGACGAGGCCGTAGACTGTAGTTTTGTATTCTTCTGCTGAAGATGAGGAGGTGGTAGAGGGGGATGACACTACGTTTGCGTAGCCCCGGTCGTTGATGAGCCAGGTGTAGGGACGTAGACGGGCGATGCCGATGTAGCGAGAGGTTGGGCAGCGGGTGTGCATTTGGTGGTGCCAGAGGTTTGAGCCGTAGCCGAAGTAGATGGTTGGTGTGGCTGTGGTTGAGTCGGGAGGGGGTGCCATTGTTGGAGTGTGTTTGGGGTGGTTTGCTTGAAAACAAGGAAACGTCTTTGGAAAGTTGAGGATATCTTATAGATGTTCGGTTTTGGGGATATATTTTGCACAGATGGAGTTCGTCTGGGTTCGTGGCTTCTGTATTCTGTAGTTGGAATCACTCCGATTGTGGACCGAAATAATCTCCGGTAAAGAGTGTGTGTAATGTAGTGAGGTAATAGAAATCCAGGTTTGGGGGCGTGGGAGTTCGGATGAATTGGGTTCGAATAATCTTCTGGTCAAGTGTTATGGGCTCAAGGGCGGAATATCTGAGTTTCAACAAATAGTGTGGTAGCGATATCTTCTCCTTGGATAGGTAAGTAGTGCGTGTCTCCAGTGTACAATTATTCGACTACAATGCTACAACACGTACTTTCGACTACTAATGTGACGTCTTCTAGTCAGCATACTAGCCTTACTGGTGTGGAGAATGACATGGCTCACCGTTTTCCTGGATTGATGGTTCGTGTCACGTTCCGAGTGAATGGTGGTAGACTATGCCCATCGGGGCCCAAGTACCGAGGCTGACAGAATGGCGTCATATTTCTCGCGTTAGGCAAATCACGAATCGGAAAAGTTGCGAGATACCGGGACTGTTCCGACCACGTGCGCACAGCTTGATACTCTTTGGGTGCATGTACATCCATCCCAGTCTTGTAAGCAAAAGGGTTCTTCGGTAGGACAGAGTTTGTATAAAACTGGCTTGCGACGTTCGGTCTCAGTCTTTGCTTCACGACTACCTGACTGCGACGTATTGCCCCACGTCACGATACAGACCCTGATATGCCGTACTCTCACCATAGTCACTCCGGCCAGTTTTGCGGACATGCGACAAACACGCTCGAGGAAGTCATTCAGGCAGCCATAGCCAAAGGCTTCCACACCTTTGCGCTGACCGAACACATACCCAGACCGATTGAAGACTTCTATCCTGGAGAAGAGAAATCGCATACCGTGGAGAGCCTCGCCAAGCTATTCGACGATTTCCTTATCGAAGCTCATCGGCTGAGAGATGTACACGGGAGTCAGATACAAATCTTGATTGGATTTGAGTCAGAATGGATTCGGCCATCCACCGTGGACATAATCCGGGGCATATCCGACAGGAACACGTTTGACTTCTTCATGGGCTCGGTTCATCACACGCATACGATACCGATCGACTACGATCGCGCAATGTACGAACAGGCCCGAGACAAGGCAGGCGGCACGGACGAGCAACTGTTTGAGGACTACTTTGATTCTCAGTTTGATATGCTTCAACAACTCCGACCCCCCGTAGTTGGGCATTTTGACCTAATTCGCCTGATGAGTGACCATCGCGACGCCGACTTCAAGGACATGGCTGGTGTTTGGAACAAGATACAGCGCAACCTGGAATATATAGCCTCTTATGGAGGCCTCCTCGAGTTGAACTCGTCGGGTCTACGCAAAGGTTTGGCCGAGCCATATCCGTGCTTACCCATATGTCAAGTCAGTCTCACCGCCACCTGCCCGAGGCTCGGCATCTTGTAGCTGGGAATACTGACTTGTGTCGCAGATGTTCCTAGGAATGGGCGGTGGCTTCGTCATGTCTGACGACAGTCATGGGATCGAGCAAATAGGGACAAACTATGTGCGGCTGCTGGCCTTTGTCGAGAAGGCAGGGATAAGCCGGATACATTTTGCTGATCGGGCCGGCGTGCGCAAAGACAGCCGCTTCCCCAACACAGGCTTCTCCAGCATCGCTGTAAGCGACCTGGCGCAGCTGCCCTTCTGGTCGAACCTAAACTGAGCTTATCTTTCGTCATGGACCATGGAACAAGGACCATGGGCAAACCTTTGGTCGTCCGATGTTGGACTGCGCCTCCAATAAAGTCCCTGTTGGGAGTTTCGGGTCTACTTGCCGGAGCAATACTGTCGTGGAACCCCTCTGCAACGGTCGACTAGGGGTACCCACCTGCAGCGCTTCGGATATTTTATCAAGGGCAAGGGAAAATGTCCGTAGCTGCCGCTCTACTGTACGTACATAGTGTAGCTGGACAGGAGGGATAGGTGTAATGCAACTTGGTGTTGCAAACTTCATGGGTTGGGTACGTGGGGGTCAGACCTCTCCTCTTCACCCACGACTCAGCCGCCGCTGCAAGTGCAGTCGATACTGGCCAATGCAAACAGTAGAATGCTACCATACCATGCTGTTGGGCTCCCGGTTCGGCGCACAGGGCTTACGATCGTCTTGCGTGAGGGTTAGCATTAGCGGATGGTGAGGAGCAGTGGCTGAAAGCACGGCCGGAAGACCACGTGTAATGGCCTCTTTATTTTCTCAGTGCTCCCTAGTCCCACGCCACTGACGCTTTTACTCCCCTGGGATTGTCGAGAATTATTGCCTTTGCCGCGAGAAGCACGATAGCCAGCAGTTCCGCATTTGGCTACAAGAAGGACGGTTGTTCTTCGGGTGGGCCAAGCGTCGTACGGCACTCGGCTCTGCCTCCGCTGCCACGCTGATTGGCATGTTAGATTTCGGTCTTGCAAGCAGAGTTGAGGCCGGCTTCTTGGGCCCACCGCTCGCACACGCTCTAGCAGCTTTCAGAAAGTGGGCTTGCGCTCGCCGTAGTGGGATTGTGGTTGCAACTGTGGTTGGCATTGGCAACAGGCAGATCAGGTTCATGTAGAGTCGAGAAGGTTGGACATGTGAAACCGCGGGAGCGCGTCTCCATCCGAAGCTTCCTTTCCTTCGCCTTGCCAATGCTAATGTACCTGGAGGCTTGAAGGACCGATGATTACTTTTTTTGCGAACGGCCATGCATTCCCTGTATGCACCTCACCCTGGTCCATCTTGCATCTCAGAGACGGCCAATTGCTCATTCGCAGACGGGCGACCGACTGATGAGTTCATGTCGTACTCCTACTAAAGCGCCATATTATCAGCTGAGACCACACCATCTCTGGCGTGCTATCGAATCATATCTCTATCCAAGTCTTGTACTACGCGCTCGTCGTTGCTCATTCGGCACTGGAGAGCTCTACCGCGTGTGCGACGTCAGTACCGAGTAGAGAAGAATCATGTCGACACGGCTCATTTACGCTTTCCGCTCCTTTTTATGCACTTTGAATCTTTGACGGCCCTGATATGCATCTACTTTGCTCAAGGGGGTTGCGGAAGGGTTATGGACTCAGGTACTTACCTTCCTCCATCCCCCACTAATCTCCACCCCGCCCTGCCGCGCTTTTGCATTGTGACGCCGACACAGTGGAAAAAATAAGATCACTTGTCGCCTCACCATTCTCCAACCCAGACTGAAGCACTGGCCGGACGTCCGTGAGTCTGCAACGTCACAAAAACAACCAATTGGTGAAGTTGTCATGCTGCTCGGTAGTCGCGGGAAACTTAGTACGGGTACAACCTTCGACCATGTTGTAATTGTGGAGCCCCAATCGCGTGTCAGCTAGGATGCTACAGATGACGAGCGGGTTCAAAGGGCTAGACCAACCTTACTTCTGACATCCAAAACGGCCTGAGCGTCGGGCAGGATTCCCCGGGAGACGGACAGGTTCTGATGGCGGCTGTGGTTCGTAGCCCGCAATTACCAGGCGAGCCACTGAGGTGGAACGGGTGCGTATGCGAGGGGGGCTAAAGACTGATGCTTGACGCATTGGAACAGACCAATCTGTTGCACAGCATCGCTGCAGAACCCGGGACTGCTTTTTACGGAAGCAATGGCCATGGACGTCTAAGCTTCAATCCAAACCATCTACGTAGTCTCCTGCTCTTCCTCAGCCCTACGCCTCGCTGCCGCTATTAATACCTAGACTCGTTCCTTTTCCTGACGCATCTTTGCATTTCGCATACCTTGCACTCAAATCACTCGGCTCATCTCGCACTATAAAAAAGCGGCTTTCCCGGACACTAGCTGCTCCGACCTCAACCCCTCCGTACATCACACTTGACTTGACCACCAAGCATCCGTACCCGTCTCCTTCACCATGGGCGTTCAAAAGACCATCATCACACCAGGCAACTCTTCACTCTGTGTGAAAAAGGGTGACGAGATCCACTTGCAGTACACAGGTAGGTTAGCCTTGGCTTACTAGGATCAATATCTGATTGTACTTTCAGGATGGCTATTCGACGAAGATGCAGAGGATAACAAAGGCGATCAGTGAGTAGACCCGCCATGTATACGCTTCGAAATCCAAGCAAGACGTGATTCTGATACCATCTCAGGTTTGACACATCTGTCGGTCGGGGCGAAAGCATCATTACCATCGGCAGAGGTCTTGTTCTCAAAGGTACGTGGTTTGCGGCCCAACCTAGTCCGCTTTACGTCCGCTGCATACACTTTCTCCAAGTATGGATTTGTATGCATATAGACTAACGCTCGTATACAGGCTGGGATGAAGGCGTGCTAGGTTCCGCTGACTCTTCACCTATGATGTTGGGTGAAAAGGCGACACTGGTTATAACACCGTACGTGATGGTTCAGTTCGACTACTAGTTTTCTCTGCTAACCAAACACAGTGACCTTGCCTATGGCTCTCGGTGAGTTCAATCCACTATCCTTAATTTACACCCCATGATCTGGACGACATACCGGAGCGCCGCGAAATCGGATTTGCAATCAAAGTCGACTTCCGAAGGGTCAGTCCAAAGGAATGACACCGAGATCCGCCTGAAACTTCACATCCGGACTACTCCGAGTCATGGATGCCTCTACCGCTGCAGCCGCCGGTAATTCTGTGCGACCCGAGTGTCAGCAGCGTCCACGACATGTCTTCACAAAACCTATCCTTCTGTAACCTGGCATGTTGCAACCGCTGACTGTATTGATGTTAGTGGTTTTGTCGGACACATCCCAGCAAACGCAACACTGGTCTTGTAGGTGCCCAATTCCCTCTTACTCATTTCGGGCACATTGCACGACGCTTTGATCGGCCGCCATCATGTGGTTTGGCTGCCGAAGTTTGTGTTGCTCATCTATCCGACGCACAGCTCACCTCCCGTCCCATCCGCCAAGTCAGCCAGGATGAGTTCTGCTGAGCTACCAAATCAAACACTAACGTTGTACCAGTGATCTGGAGATCAGAGCCATCAACGGAAAGAGGGCAGACAGCACCTGATCATCCTTCTGCATCCTTGCACCGCTCTTTGAATCACGTTGGTCGACACATACCCCCGTTTCTACCCGACCCGCCTACCCAGCCAGCCATTTGCGCCCTTACAATTCCAAGCTTCGAAGCCAACACACACGAGAGCCATCATGTTGACGGAGTGTCTTGTGTGTGTCGACACATTGCGCGCCATTTATGCCTACCAATTTATTCTCCCTTCCACCCGGACCGACTGAGGTACCTTTGTTTCTCGGAGTTGGACGCTGGGGGCACACACGTACACATGAGTCATGAACATTCTTTTTCATTACCGTCCTGTTCCAATCAGGATGGATACACACATAGGGCGGACGGGTCGATGGCGTAGAATTTTCAGGAGAGCTCGTGCTTTCCACTTTTGAGTCTCCAAGACGATTGTCTTTTTTTCTTCCACGCGTTCTATTTAGATTGGATTCCTTGGTCTTGTTGTCTCCCCTGGCTAACATCACACCGCCCATCAATATATAGGGTGGCGTTGATGTAGCAAACGAGACGCGATCGATTTTGTTGTTGTTTTTCACGTTCTGCTTTGGTCGCACAATACCCATGAATCTAAAAGCGAGCGAGCGAGCGCCGTATTCTTTTCACATGATTTTCACATGAAATGTGATTCTGACGAGATAAGCCCCCCTACGACAATGATGATATCTATCTGTTTTGGCAAAAGGAGGCCCCATTCCAACCACCATTGGCACAGACACGAAGCTAAGTCGTCGGCTGAACATAAAAGCCGCACGGCACATGTTCGTCATCACACCGTACCGTACACCGACATTCCGCCATGTTCCTTACTGGGCCCCTCGTGCCGAATCCATACTCAATCTTACATCGGCATGCCGAGGAGTTGGCTAGCCTGCATGAGTCGGAAATATGCTCACATCTAGTTGGACAGCGGTAGAGGCGGCTTATGGATTTAATCCGGCAGTTGGAAGCTTGTGTGTCTCACGGCACTATATCCATGCTTGGTCATTCGACTCGATTACCGCGGTTAACCAGCCTTGGTCGGCGAGAAAAAAAAAGGTTCCATGGGTTCTGATTTTCGCCACGAGGCATGTGAGTGGGGTATGGAACGAAGGATAGATGGGGGCGTTCGGGTTCCGTAATCTTATGCCTGCTGGATTGAGAAACGAGGTAAGCCCATACCCACACACCCCACGGAAAGCGGATACGCTTTACCCATCCTACTGGGCGCCGCGCGGCTGTTTATACGGACTGGGCATCTAGATCCCACAAACCGTACGTAAAGGTTCCCTTTCCATCGACTCTAGCACGATGCCAGAAGCCAGAATGCGACAACAAGATTACCATCATACATCGTGTAGGTGTGGCCAAAGGGGGCAACAGCAGAGCGCTAGCCCACCAATGCCCAAGAAACTACACGCAGCCCAACTCTGACCGATCAGCCAAATGCCAGACGACCATGTGTTTGCCATTTAGTGAAAAAGCCCCCATACGGAGCATGGAAACCTAAATCCCGCCCCGTTGTTTTCCCACCTGCCAGCACACCCACCCGGCTACGGGCCGTGGCCGTCCGTACCCACCACTGGAACCCTCCCATCCCGCACCCGTACCGACGCCCGGTACGGCTCTCTAGGTCTTACATGATACTGTTGTCACGGATAAGCATTGTGGGGTGTATGTGCGTGTGTGGCGGCGAGCCAAGTTACGGTACTGGATGTGATGAGCATGACGAAGTCGATTATCACGTTGGAATAGGATTCAGGATTCAGTGGGGGACGTGCAGGAGGAAAGGCCATGTTCGTGCAGCTTTTCTGGCTTGCTTTGCATGGTTTAGCCAGCGAAAGAGCCTAGACTGGAGATATCATGCGCGAGGCGAGGGGTGGTTGCGTGGGTCCGTGACGGTACATATGCATGTGAGATTTGCACTGGGGCTGCCATGCGTGTGTTCGTGCGTGGTGCGTGAACGTGATGATTGACGCCGAAGCACGAGCGTTTTCTTATGGGTATGCAATGTGTATGATCTGCTTGCAACTGGATTAGTTATTCTGTGAAAATAGGGACATGGGGTCGCAAAGGATTGGAGAGACCCCTCTTCCCCCTTTTTTCGGTTTTAGCCAGCTCGCGAAAGTTGCCCAGAAGGTCGCTCCAAACTTCCAACTAAGGCATCGCCTTGAGTGGTGGTGTTGCTGCATATACTGTGGAGCGATGCAATGTGACATGCAATTGCGTGCATGGATGAAAATGCAAAAAAGGCACATGAGACAGACAAGGCACGAAAGTCGATTACCATAATTTGTAAAACTTCCTTAGATCGCTAGATTTTCCTATTGGTATAATTACAGATGAATGTACATGTACTGGTATATATAGAACAATGGTTACCCGGTTCCAACCGTGACCAATACTATGTGGCGCGACTATCACCGTATGGAAGAAAGCAATCAACGCCACTTTCCCAGGAAGATTGTGCATTTCGCTAAACTCCACAAACTTTCCACTGCTTCGCTCATGTAATGTCTTACACACATAGCATCTGCATCATCATCATCATGGCTAGCTGTACCTACATGACATTTCGATGACACGGCGATTCCCCTACTAGTCTTCCATCTTCCATTCTAACTTTCCCAAAATAAAGTACTATTGCGGCCCAATATTATTGAAGACTTTCGATTCGATGTTACCGCCGGTGTTTGGTAGTCTCGGGTTTTGCTACTTTATCGAATTGTTTTCATCCAGTCAGCGGGGTCGATTGCGTGTCGGTTCACCGATCAATGCAGCCAAGCTTTTCCTTGAGCCGGACTTCTGGGTCGCTGGCTGGATAGATGGTGGCTGGGGTATGTGGGAGTGGAGATGGAGGGTTTGGTGTGTATGGAGATGGCGTGAGGGGTACATTGGATCTAGGTAGGTACATATGATGATTAGTTACGCGCGGTAAGTTGAGTGAGTGTGATTTTTCGCCGCGAGTGCCGCGACTTTGGACGTTTTGCGCGCATGTACTACTACATATGTGCGTATATTTGGAATGAAACGGGCCATGGCGAGATTAGGGTTTTTGGGAGGGATTGTGGATATGCAGCGTCGGGGGATGCTGGGAGTCAACGGAAAGTACCTGGTGTAGGCTGAATCCTACAGGAACGGGCTCATGGATTCACTGGTAGGAGCTTATACGATGGTTGTCGCTTATCTCGCCCCGCGGAGAAGTCAGAAGAATGATGCTGGAATCTCATTCCTCTCAGAGATAGGCTTCTGAGTGAGATAGCAAGATGACATTGTGATAGTCACTTAGTATACGACCTTGTTGTACCTGGCATTGACGTACCATGGATGTTTAGTAAACACTGACATCATTACAACACGGTAAAGGAATCCGATTTGTGAATATATGGCTGTATGAGTTCGATTGGTTAGTCTCTCTACATGTGAAGCATGCATTAAGTATATTGGAGTAAGTACATCAAACGTCTTGGGCATCTTTTTTGATACCTGAATGTCCCAGCAATAGAAGACCTAGTATTCACTGCAATTCGTGTCTTTACACCCTCGTCTGATCGGTAGCACCGTTGACGTGGACCGGCTGAATCTTGTGATTACTATACTTTCCATCGGCAGATCGGAGGCGGCTCTACAGTGGATGGTGTAGGGGAACGTCTAATAGGCTTTCGAGATATGGAGGCTGAAGATCACCAGTTGACGTGGCCAGAAGTGACTCAGAAGCATGTCAGCCCTCGTGCATGTGGTGTCACAACGTACGGGAGACGTTGAAGTCTGCGTTATTCGGTGGAAGCGAGCATGGCAGTTGCCGAATGTTGCCACCAGTACTGAACCCAGTTAGATGAAGAGGTCGATCTTAAGGTTCATATGTATATATGTAGTGAAGCTGAGCCGTGGTTTCGTCTCGGCGATATCCAGAAGCCACGTTAGAGTCGTTCAATCGGACGGTCCGGATGTCATCGTCTCAATCAAAATCAAGTCAATGAAGTCTTCGAAGCGGATCATAAAAGCTTCTGAAAGATTGTAATAGCTCTTGTTGGTCTTATGATTCATGCAGAGGATGAAAACAATCCCCTCAAGGACAGTAAGCAGGAATTGTGAGATATGCGTGTCTAGTTACTTGCTCCTGGAGGCGACCGTTATCTAGTGGCGATTATTTCACAGATGCAGCCAATAATACTACCAGTTGGTGGCCTTGTAAGTAGCGAAATGGAAGTGGACGGCTCAATGATATGGCCGTATCTAATTCATCGGTGGTGTTCTCCGGCAGAAGCGTCATGGCTACACAAATATCAGGTCCGCTGGGCTCGTAGCACATGATCACTCGGCCGAGATCTTTGTCTAAAGTGACCATCCAAAGTGCCACATATTTTGACGTACAGAGGTGTGATACTTCCTCGGTCTTGTGCCGTGAGGCCTGCATCGTACAACCAGTCCGATATGTTTCTTAGTCGTGTGCCGTTGGGACAAGGGGTGATACCCTGAATTACTGCGATACAGATATCAGTCTTGGAAGTGAGTCGCACCTACTCTATTCTCTTATGTGTGCCTAGCGATAATGAGATTCAGGGCGAGAGGATATGGATGACATGCATCTCGCACAGCGGAAGGTGTCGTCGCTAGTGCCTGCCTGGCAGTCAGTGGTCGCAACGTGGCACAAAGAGCGGGCCGTGGAACTTCAAATATCACTCAGCAGCTCCACGTGTTGTTACTTCATACTTGTGCAAGTCACATGGTACCAATTCAGTTCTTAAATCAACGTCGTGGAGTATGTTGTACTCGGAAGGGCAAAACGCCGTGACTTACTGCCTGCACAACCAGCTTACACTACGAGTATATGTATGTTGAGTTCCGAATACGTTCACTTGCTTGAGTGGTGTCGAAGTTGTGTATTCGGACGATGTTTCTGCACTGATGTCGACACGTCTCTCATATACCTTGGACCTGTTAACCCGGACAGCTCTCGTGTTTGCGGCATGGTGATGTATCTACATAGGTTGTAGGTGAACTGAGGGTGATCATGCTTATCTTTTGAACATATGTTGTAGACACAGAAAGTGTGATTTGTGGCAGAAGGTGACAGAGAGCATGCTGGTACCTGCGCAGATGCTAGCACGTAAAAGGACATCACGTGTTCCCCCAAAGCGCACAAGTTATCAACCATGGAATTCACCGAACAACATAGTTTCCTTAGCACCACACGAATCAAGACGCCTTCCTATCAGGCCCTCTACTGCAGCTAAGATATCGGCGACGCGCTGGTAAATTGCTCAGAACATGGATTTCGTCATCAACATTGTGCAGTCCAGGCAGCCCAGGTGCCACGACATTCGTTGCATACTCTACGGCGCTCCACATCCAAGCCAAGCCATGGCAGCCTGTTTACTTTGACGGACGGCAACAAGAAGAATTGGTGATGGTCATATGCGGCTCTATTGATCTCATCTTGGGCTCGCTATTGTGGGAGGCTTCCGGTTGGCGAGTACGGGAAATTAAATGTGGAAACAAGGTCCTCCTGAATGGCTCGAATCGCTGGCTTCCTGCTGCAACATTGCGACAACGCACTGGGCTGGACCTTGCACTTATCGATACACTCTCTTGTTGTTGCACATTCTCAACAGGTCGTCATCGCAAGGATTGCGCAGACTCTGGCTCCAAACCTCCAACGGAAGCATGACAGCTGTCTTACGACTTGTCCTTGCATATCCACCGTCTCACCGACTCGAATTCACCATGCCGTCGGTGTGGTAAGGCTTTGGAAAATGTTCATGAGGCATGAACGCAGAAGCCCCTTTCTAAGTCATGCCAACTGGAGTATAGTGGCTTAGTGCAATGGCAAGGCTTGCCAAGCAGACTCATCTCGATTTTCCATCACCAACAGCAACGGCAGGTGTTGACATGTTCAAATTGTGTGCGCTGCCATGGAGTAGTGCTCAACACCAGCGGTCATCCCAACAAATGCATCACGGGCGCGTTTGTGGGAGTAGGACGCGCCCGAGGTGATGCCTGGTTTCAGCCGAAGAATTGTGCCGCCAATACCATACAGGCCAGAAGCAGGACAACCTCCATCGGCTACACCCCTGCTGTAATTTACGCTGTTTTCGTAGCATATCCGACATGACATGGCCAAAGTTACAGCCACTCGCGCAGCAGCAGCCCTGACGATCAGGCACCGCGCATGGCCGATTGGACCTCTCCGGACTCAGCCTGTTCAGTACCTTTCTGTTCGGGCCTAGCATGCTGTCCCGTGCCTGTCTGTCCAGCTAACCACGCCGTTTGGCACCATCCCGAACCAGCTTACGCTACGACGGCCATTAGTTCCATGGTGGGCGGGCTTCGAAGTGGGCCTGGGCTGCGTGGACCGGGATTCAGCCGTCTTATTTACTCGCGCATCCCCCAGGTCCCAAACTCTTTCCCTACCGCACAAAGCAGGACCTCGTACCTACGTTCATTCGCTGAATAACTTCACTCTTTCAGGTGTTCAGCAGACACTCTTTCGAATCGCTTTTCGAGACTCCCGCTTTGACCAGTATCCTATCGGTCCAACTCAGCAATAATGCAGCTTACCACCCTCCTTTCCACGTCGGCCATGGTCGCGACGACCTACGCATTGAGGACCGCCGTCACTCTCAATGCCATCGCCGACGCGAGCAAGCCCTACGTACGCGTCATCAACCGCTGCCCTTACGATGTTCACCTTTGGTCTGTCTTTAAAGGAGACGGGTGCCCTACGGATGGCATGGTGACACTCAAGACTGGCGGAACTTACACCGAGAACTACGCCGACAAGGCAGCGGACCTAGGTGACGGAGACAACCACACCGGTATCTCTATCAAGATCTCCAAGACGGAGGAGTGCAAGGGCAACGACATCACCCAATTGGAGTACTTCCAGGAGTTCACTGGTGCACTTGATTTCCAGATGAACTACTTTGACGTATCCTACGTCGACTGCCTGGGCGGGGACTGCCCAGCAAGAAATGATGGATACTACATCAATGTTGGTGACCAGCAGGGCAAGAACAAGGCCAGCAGCGACGGCAAATGGTGCCCTTGCCATGGATGCCATGACCAAGCTTCATGCGACGCCATCTCTTACGTTCTTCCCGACGACGTGCGGACCTTGACTTGCAACCACTTCCAGAACATCGATTTCTACATGTGCGGCGGAAACCCCCCCAGCGACGAAGACGACAGCCCTGCTCCTCCCAAGTCTTCTTCCAGCCCGGCCCCGAAACCTTCCAAGGCCAAGCCTACATCGACTCCCGTACCATCTTCCTCCAGCCCAACTCCCGAGGTGTATGCTGCCGATGCTACCCCATCTTCCTCGCCTTCACCTTCGCCCACCAGCGAACCCCCTACTACCACCCCGGCTCCGACCAGCGAGCCCCCCAAGATCACCAAGACCGAATTTGTCTACGTTACCGCATACGAGTACGTCAATGCGAAGAGGCACGCACACGACCACGCCCGTCGCCACCAACAGTTCCACGCATAAACTTGCCAAGTCACTTGTATATGACGATATTGGCCTTTACAGAAGTGGTTTTGTTACATTATTCTACCTGCCGATAATTCAGGATGCCTATCTCGCCATATACCCAGATAACAGAATTTGAAGAGGGATTGAGTGTTGATTCGACTCAAGTAATGCCAGGGGTAGACAGCGTCGCAGGTTCAATCTATTTATTCTTACCTTTCGATTTTCGACGCGCACCCTTGGTCATGCTTGATTTGACTGCTTGCATTACAAAGCCTTCGCCTCCTACACTCTTTTACTGTACTGCACCATGGGTGTATTGGGTCCTTGTAATTTTGCTTTCTTATCTTTTCCCTAACGAAGTCACGATACGGGATACCATCTTGGGTTTACTAGCCCTCCTTACCACGGCTAGCGGGATATACTTATTTCATTTCATTTGTTTCTTGGAGAGCTTGTCTCCCATCTCCTTTGTTCATGGACGTGGGGTAATTTGAAAAGAAGTCCTGGCTTGGTGTCTCTAGTATCTAGCTTGGAAATAGAAGCGTTCGCTATTATTCTACCCATCTCCATGCTAGCCTTGCGTGACATTCATCTAATTTCGGGTATGTGCGACTATGAGTGATTCATGTCGCACCACGCGTCGCCTTGGCCTTAGCGCATAGGTAGGGTATCGTGAGGTTGTGCAGATCTGTCAGAAGTAGACACTGTCTTCAAGCTGTCGCAAGCACGGCCGCAAACTTCTCCGCATGTCAATGTCAATGTCGACGTCTGAAACACATTGACTGCGCCTCCTCCTGGTGTATTTTTTGCCAATCGAACCCCGTGCGTGAATGCCAACCTTAGTGACACATATTATCGTCAGGGTTAAGACTTTATTGCACTGAGATATCACAGATCGTCGTATTGTTTTGTTCCACACGACCACCACGCTTGTACGAGTAAGTTAAGTCTGCCATCTCCTGATTATAATCTGCAAAAATCAAGTCCTGTCGCGAAATCCCTCCATGACCCAAGGTTTGCGCACACACCTGCACATGCAAACGCTTCTGTGGCCGACAGCGGCCCAGGGCATCTGAGGGGAACTTTTTGCGCACCGGCCACCGCAGGCCACGCAACCATGCCTTGTTTTCGTGCCACGGTTGGCAAAAAGCTGCATGGCGTCCGTCACCAAAAAGCAAAAAGATCGTTTTCCAAGTTCCAGGCTCTTTTTTCCCTCAATGTTGGCGATCTCGAACCAGCTTTCCCGCATGTTCATCTCCCATCTCGATGGGCTGCGTTGGTGTGTCACTTGTAGATTGATTTGCGCCGAGAGATGCCGGTGCCTTGCATGCATGCAAGCAACCCACGACGACGACCGTTGGGGACCCGTTTAAAAGACGCACCTTGCATCATCCAGGGCTCATGTTGGGCTCAACGGCACCCGTCCGTTGGAATTGCCGAACCAAACTTGTTTAGAACCCACCTCACAAAAACGACTCGTCTTAGCCTCTGTCCAACGTCCCCCACTCAGCGGTCTTGGGCGCAGGCACGAAAAAAAGGATTTGCAGGAATTTTCATGCTTCCTCGTATGTACATGCACCTTCATGCAGTAGTGTAGTGTTCCAGAACGCAAATGCTGAAAATTGGTGTTGTTCTTGCTCCACCAATTCATCGTCATTCTCGACTATACGATCCACTTGTTTTCACCTGCACCTGTATGTTCGGTCGATATCATCTCCAGCTACTTCGCTACATGTTCCGATATCGATTAGGTGCATCTATCGATAACACCATACGTCTTAGACGTCAATAACTGGGCCTCGATTACCCGTTGCCGTCCGAATACTCTGGGTACCTGGGACTTGAACCAATGGCACGAATATCTGAGGTAAAGAGAACTGATGGTTTAGTGGGACCATGGGATTCTAGACTTCGTGATTGCTCCTTGTGGCATCGTTGGGGTGGGTTCCCGGGGCAAAGTTACAGATGCCGATGGCATTATGACATATGCCCACTCAACAAAGAGTGGAAAAACAGAGGGCTGGTGGCGGGGTTTCTCGAAGGAAAACTCTGGCCATGTTGTTCCTTGCGACGATGACAGCGTCCGGCATTAAACGTCGCTCTGCTAACAGGGTACCTGCAGCTTGTAACGAAAACAAATCCTCTCTAGCAGTACGATACAGTCTCGCCTTGGCTTTGAGGACTACACCGACCCGAAGAACTTTGCACATGTCAGCCTGCTTTCGGATCATCCACTCATGGCTCCGTACCCCTGCACCCAACCACCTCAACATCTTACTTCATCTCACATCTCTGCCTTTGAAGCAGTCCAACATGGCTTTGACGTCATCATACGTCGCTCTTGGGGGCGTCAACAGATTCTCACTGCCAGCAAAAAGCATCAATATGTTGGTCATGGGTTGGATATGCGAATTTTCTGCATGTACATCTGCAGTATGCAGGTGATGATAGTTGTGGTACCAGTGAGCTAGATGACATTAAGATCACGAGATATATGGCATGTGAAAGACTTGGATGCGGTAGAACAATTCTGCGACAATCGCCTGATCGGTATCCAGACTGTTGTACTTTGGACCAAAGAGCCAAACTCTGAGCATAGTTTCCATGCACTCAACGCCCTAATTTCAAGTGAATTTCGGCAATGTAGTCCAAGTTGAATGGGATTATCGGTACAGCGTTGCGTTACCATATGAAACACTGGGTCGAACAAAAGTCTCTAACCATGCTCATGATTAGAGATTGATTAGCGACTGTAGTACTGTGTTGGTAGACTATATCTTAGTATGCAGCGATGATGAAAACGGCTCTAGTGCTGCAATCTTAGACATGCGACTTTTACGATGCTGGTTACGTCAGCTCGATATGCCACGAGTATCTTAGTTTTTGTATGACTAGGTGAATGGTTGACGAGGGATCATCCTGAACAAAGCAAGGTAATTGTTTCTCTATGTATTGACTCTGTGTTTACGTCATAGTGTTGGGCAATATTGAAGTCTCAACTAGGAAGTTGTCTAGCTGATGATGACTAAAACCTATACTAACATCGCGCTGCCATCTGTAGTTATTAAGTAATAGTCATCAGCACGATTGTTCGACAAGGTGTAAGCACCATACAGTATATGCCTTGTGAAAGCCCAAATATGAATGTCTACGAAGTTTGTACAAAAAAAGCACTTTAGGGATCGGGTCGCTGTGATAGAAAACTGGTAATGCGGGATCAGCGTCGGACCAAGTCCACCAATCATTTCACCAACGAGTAAACAAACTGATAACATGATCCATGGGCGAGCGGCGCACACGGGCGAGCGGCGCACCCCACCAACTTTTGCAACTTTAAAGCGATGCATCTCAACAACGCGATAATATTATTGCTAGATATTGATACAGTAGATTACTCTATATTAATAGTATCAGTCTTGCATGTGCGCGAGTTGTGCCCAGTCTCCTTGCACCTAGTGCAGCGCCTTTGAGCCCGCTGGCTGAGGCCTGATCGCGCTCCTCCTTGACGCTCTTCATGAGCAATCTGCTGGTCAGCCTCATTTTGAGCCAGTATATCCTCTCCAGCTCCCTTTGTGAGTACTCCATGCTTCTGTATACGCCTTTTAGAGCGCCGCCTACGCTCTGAGGCTGCGCTATTGGCCTTCTCAAGACTAGAGATCCGATCGCGCATCAGCTCAGCAGAGAGCATCATCACCTCGGCGCCCTTCTTTAGCTGGTCAATCGCCATAATAATTGAAGCTGGTGATGAGCTCTTGTGCTGGCGCACGCGCTCACGTATTAGGCTTGACTGAGCCTCAAGCTCACGCGCGTTGCTCGGCGTTTGAGCTACCCAGGGAGCCTCTGGCAGAGCTGCTGGAGGAGTAGGTGTACGCAGTTGTACATCTACGTTTGATAGAACAGCCTCTGGTTGTAGAGGAACAAGGCCTGCGCCGCGGAAGGCTGAGCAGATATTGGCTGGCGTGAACGCTTGATCAAATGCTGCCTTGAACGCTGGCAGAAACTCTAGCTTGGTGATGTGGTTGATGTGGTTGCGCATAAGGCTCTCCACCTCACGGCTGTACGCGCGCTTCAATGGCGAGAAGCAGCCAACATCAAGTGGCTGGAGTAGGTGAGATGAGTGAGGAGGCATACAGAGCGTATGGATATTGTTCTCCTTGCAGAGCTCCTGGAACTCTAGAGATTGGTGGCTCTTATGGCCATCAATAATAAGCAGGCGACGCGCGCCTACACTACGAGCCTGCGTGTGAGCGTTGAAGTGCTTTAGCCACTCAACTCCAAGCTCATTATTCGTCCAGCCATTATCGCTGACTGCGATCGCCCAGTCGCGTGGGATCTCAGCTTCCTTATACCAGGCTGATAGGTGGTACTGGCCAGCGAAGATGAGGAACGGTGGGACTGACCAGCCAGCAGCGCTGATAGCAGCGATCAGCGTTACCCACTCGCGATTGCCTGGCTGAATACTCTTCGGCCTGCCTCTCCTCTCTGCTCCTGTTATAACTAGCTGCGTTGTAATCTTGCCCATCATAAAGCCAGCTTCATCAAAGTTGTAGACGTCCTCATCGCAGATACCTAGCTCAGCCTTTGTCTCTTCTACAAGCTTAAACCACCTCTTTATTAATGTTGCATCCTCACAAAGAGCTCTCTGCCTATCGTACGCTTGGTTGAAACACGTCCGAAGACTGTCTGTACGCTTAACAAAGGTAGATGGCCAGTTGACTCCAACCTGCTCTCCACCACGCGCAGCCAGCAGCTTATCAGCCATATCACGTACAGCTGTGTAGGTAGGCGCAAATCCACGCAGATCTAGCTGAAGTATATAGCTAATAATCACCTCCTCTTCTCTCTGGGTAAGCTTCCTTGAGTTGGGCGGGCAATCGCGTCGGGCAGGTATACCAGCGCGTCGGCGGCGGAGCGTTGTTTCGGCTACGTTGTAGACTACTGCAGCAGTACGGGTACCTTGGATCTGGTGCGCATTAATAGATGAGATAGCAAGCTGAATATCTGCTTCATTTGATAGTAATTGAGTAGCGCTGCGTTGAGCCATTGTAGATTAAGATCAGTAAGGTGAGTAAAGTTGGTGGGGTGCGCCGCTCGCCCGTGTGCGCCGCTCGCCCATGGATCATGTTATCTAAGATTCCCTTATTTCGTTCATCACCTCAATTGGAGAGAATAAAGAGTGCTTAGGAATGCTACGAACCTGTAAGAAGTAATCAGCGCGTTTATCTGCCTCGTAGCATCAACGTAATAGTGATACAACTTCATGACTCTAATGCCTTCTCGGTCCAACTGACGCTATATCTTCTTATTCCTCAGCTCTCTTCTCCTTCCAACTCGTTGCCATACATTTCCTTCCTCAACCCTTTGCAAACGCCACAATAGCAACAGCAGTCGCATAATCCCCATCATGACTGATACTAATCTCGCAAAGCTGTCCATTAAGCTCATTAATATCAGCCAGCGGCTTCGAATTTTCTGCCACCTCTCCAATGCCCTCATCTACCGTACCAACCCCCCTAGATTCAACCAAGTCCGCCTCAGGTTCCGCGCCAGCCGTATATACTTCATCGAGTATCAAGCCCTGAGGTCGACCAGATTTATATCTGTCACGTTCGTTTGCTGTCACGGGTAGAATCATGACATGTTGGAAGCCTCGGGATTTAGGATCTAGATGAGTGCATGCTTTGCGACAAGCTTCCTTTGCGGCGAACCTTTTAGGTCTGGTAAGCTTGCGCGAAGAGATGAGATGAACAGGTAAACAGCGCATGATGCATACCTGCCTGCAAGAAACTGAGACACTCTTTCTATACTGTTGAAAGGAGCTCCGCTTCCGAAGCGCTGCCAAAAGTACCGGCGCTCATGTTCCGTCAATAGTTTTCTCAGAAGGCGCCGCAGAGGTCGTTGTGGTTCGCCATTACTGGGTTGTGTGATGAACTTTCGTATCCTGGGAACATAGCAGATGTCGGTGCCTACTTTGAAGGGAATTGGGAATGGTCGCAATGGCATGGTGGCGATCGAGACAAAATGTCAATTATTGGGGGGAAAGATGCCGAGGTCACGCTTGGCAGGCTCTATCCACATGCAGATAATGAGGGGCGCACTTGGCGGGCTGAAATCCGAAGCAAAAAAGAAGAAGCCAGCAGAGAAGCAATCAATGTCAGGCTGCTAAATTACGCAAAAAAAGACGACGTTGGCCAGATTCGAACTGACGCTCCCGAAGGAACAAGATTTCTAGTCTTGCGCGATAACCACTCCGCCACAACGCCATATGATTTGATGAAAGATGTAAAAATAAAATACAATATATACATATTTACAAAATCATCACATCTGACCACGTGGGTTCAGCGTTCCAAGGAACCTACCTCAAGCGAACCGAACATGAGTGCCGGATATGCACAACTACGCGGGTATTAAGCCGATGCGCCTTGATCGCTTCGAGATATTCCTTAAACCCGAAGGAGTACCTAGCGTTCTATCTATTGGCCGTCTTTAGAGACACAGTCGAAGCCGGTACACGGGCTTCCACCCAACACGTGATGTCACACATGATCCTTCGCATCCATCGCTCTTCATCATCAAAGAGAAACAACTCCACCCACACTCCTACAAAAAAGCGCACACACCCGGCCCCGCTCTCCCCAATCCTCAGGCTGCACAACACACTCACATACATCCCGACAGCCCACCGGACGGACTCCGAAGTGCCGAATAAGGCGCTCGCTCAGTCAGCCTCATCACGCCAACCTCCCATTCGCCCGTGATCCGTGATCAGCACACACCCACATACATCTTACATACAGCACAAAACAACCCGAACGCCGCAACGCCGCAAAGTCTTTGCTGACCTAGAGGGCCACGCCAACGCCGCCCCTTTTGCATGCGAATCCCGTAACGCCGGGTTGTGGTAGCGGGAAGGCTTGCTTGTTCGATGGCTTGCCTGGGAGCCCTGAGCAAAGAGGCCTGAGGGCAAGCCTTATCCAAGGGTGCGAGGTGCGATAGACCTAAAATGGGTGTGGCGATGCAGGGTTGTGGTGTTGCGGTTGGTTCGGGGCTTGCTTGTCTTGTCGGGGGTCGGCGTTGAGATAGGAGGAAGGTTGCACGAAGGAGTCGGGATTTAAGGAGCTGGAAATGGGAAAGCTGACTGTTTAGAGGCGTGGCTAGGAGACTAGTTTGTGTGCGTGGATTGGTAAGATATAGTAGGTATGTCACTGCCGAGACGTGCATGCGGGGAATGGCGTATCTATGTTCAAGAGTAGGTGGTTTCCCTCTATTTCTGTCATCTACTTTTTTTTCCTTCGCGTTCATGTCGTACAATTTTCTTTGGAAATCGAATACACACCTCGAATCGAAATGACACATCCAACCTCACCACGTCTGCCCGGCGTACCGATACTGATGCCATCTGCATCTGGACCGGAGTACTCCCGATGGCGGCGGGGCGTACAATTTGTCCTGGAATCGAAAGGAACGTGGAAATACTGCGACGGCTCTCTTCCCATGCCCATGCCCAAGACACGAAGAAGCTCCAGCATGTCAACCAAAAAGACAAAAGACACACAACCCAGCCTTCTGGAAGAGCGCCGAGCATGGGTCCGGCAAGACCGCGAAGTCAAACTCGACATCTTCCTCTCCCTCGCCGAAGAAGTAATGCAAGACGTATTCGAAGTCGGACCTCCTTTACCACCCACAAACCACTCTGCGCAACAACTCCTCGAAGCCCTTGATGCGCGCTTCGCCGTCTTCAACTTTGAATCCTACCACCACGCCTTCTGCCACTTCCTCAACCTACACATCGACCAATACGACAGCATGCAGGAATTCAACCAGGAATTCAAAACCGTTCTCGAGGACCTGCTCGACTACGGCCACCCGCTCACCAACGCCCAAGCCTGCAGCGCCTACTTTTCCAAACTACGCTGCACGCAGAATCCATGGGTAGCGCAGAAACTAGAAGAATGGGGTAGTTATAGCAGCAGAGATAGTGGTAAAGAACAATCGGAAAATGAACCAAACATCTACGACCTCATGCAAGAGTCTCCACCATGGTCCTGCGTCCGCCCGCTAGCAACAAAGTCATCGCAAACCTTCCACACTCAACAGCGGCGGCAGCAGAGGCGACGGAGTCCGATACCAAAGCCGGAAGGATCGGAAGAAGAACAATATTCCTCACCCAACACATCCCGTTCCTCCAGCCCCTCAAACAGCGGCTCCACACCACCACCCACCCACTCGTCGTCCATATCAACCCTACCATCAGCGACGTCCTCGCGGCCCCTCTCAAACAACACGACTCACTCCCAGGAAATTACTGTTTACGCATCGAAAAGCACGGGTGGCGGTGTGGAGTTGGATGCAAAGGCTTTACATGCTGCGTTGGAGAAACTTTCGTCTGCTTCTTACACTACCACCACTGCGCTACCTCGACCTTCTGCCGTTACGACTAAACCACAACAACAGCAACAGCAACAACTAAAATCCGAATCCATAACACCACCATGGCTAGCACCACTAAACCGTCCTCTACCCCCCTTACCACCGCCTTCGCCCCCACCACCAGTAAAAGGAGGAGAGATACTAGAAGATGTCTTCCGACCAATTCCAAGTGCAGTATCACAACCTGATGGTAGACCACACACTGCGGACCCTTATACCACACACGCAGCCTCGGGCTCGGGCTCGTTAATCTCAGTACCGGTTCTTATATCTACGTCGTCGCTTATGCGGGATACGAGTACTATTATCAGTACCAGTGCGACAGCAGGTACCAGTGGCGCAAACGTTAGCACTAGTACCAGCACAAACAGTAGTGATCTACAACTTCCCCTCCAAGGGGCGGTGATTACTCCATCTCCGTCTCCACCACCACCACCTTCTCGACCAGCCTTCTCCACATCAATTTCTACGCCACCACCACGGGTAACGGACAGAGTAAATATACATTCACACCACAAAGCGGGGAGTTTAGATTTCCACGTCCCGCGGCGGGGGCGTGATGGTGATAGTGGGGTTGGTGCTGGTGTTATTCCTACTAGGATGACTACAGGGCTAAGTGGGAATAGTAGTGGATTTACTCCCAAGATGAAGAGTAGAGGGTGGACTATATCACGGTTTACGCTTCGTTGAGAACTGTCGCTGGCTATTGTTGTAGCTTTTATATTAGTAAATATCATACATAGTTTGGAACAAAGATTGTTGTTGCAGAGAAATGTCTAATGCAATTGATTTGGTCTATAGTAGCTTCCTTCTCCAAGTTCTACTCAACCCACCAGTAGTCGTGAAATCATTCATGCATATGCCAGCTTGGAGCTCGCTTGTTCCCTGTCGAGACCGTCTCTTGATAGTCTTTCCAGCCATTCAAATCACCTACTGGGTCTCTCTAACAACCTTGTCGACAGCCTTGGCAAAGTAGTCGATGTTGTGAGTGTTGAGACCAGCCATAGAGATACGACCGTTCTTGGTCATGTAAACGTGCGAGTCTTCGCGGATCTTGAGTACCTGCTGCTCAGTCAAGCCAGTGAAGCTGAACATGCCAATTTGTTCGGTGATGTGGTTCCATGTGCCTGGGGTGCCCATGTCCTCGAGTTTGCTGCGGAGGGCCTTGCGCATCTCCTTTATACGACCGGACATTGTGCGGAGGTTCTCCTCCCACTCAGCGAAGAGCTTTGGGTCGTTGAGGACGGTCGAGGCGATGCGGGCGCCGTAGGCAGGGGGGTTTGAGATCTCGGAGCGCTGGAGGATGGCGAGCTGCGAGGCGATGCGCTTGACGGTGGACTCGGCATCAGACGAGGGGGATGTGACAAAGTGGAAGCAGCCGGCACGCTCGCCGTACAGACCAAAGTTCTTTGCGTATGACTGAGCGATGCACATCTCGAAACCTTGCTCGACAAAGTAGCGGATGGACCAGGCATCAGTAGCAAGGTCGCCAGACGCGAAACCCTGGTATGCCGTGTCGAAGAAGGGGAAGTGCTTCTTCGACTTGATCACACTAGCAATCTTCTTCCATTGCTCCTGTGTAGCATCGACACCGGTGGGGTTATGGGCGCAAGCGTGCAACACGATGATGCTGCCCTCAGTCGCGCTCTCGAGGGCACCAATCATGCCATCAAAGTCGAGACCCTTTGTCTTCTTGGAGAAGTAGGGGTATGTCTTGTGTTGGAGACCGACGTTGGAGAAGATCTGGAAGTGGTTCGCCCATGTTGGGTCGGAGAAGTAGGCGGTACGTTCACTCTGTGTCTTGTAGAACTTTGCGAGGAAGAGAGCGCCCAAGTGCACGGCACCGGTGCCGGAGATGGTCTGCAAGCTAGTGACCTGCGTGGTGTGAGCTCAAGTCATGACGTGGTGGAGTGATGTGCCCACCCGCTTCTCCTTGATCGCGGGGCTGTCGGCGCCCAACACCAGCTTCTGGGAGGCGGTTGTGAACTCAGGAAGACCGGCGATGGGCAGGTACTCGTGGTTGAGGTTGGGGTCGTTGCGTAGGCGGTCGTCGGCCTGGGTGATAGTTAGTCAGGTGCTCTACAGCTTTGTGGATGCTGATGGCTCACCATCTTGACGACGGGTAAGACCCAGGGCTTTGCGTTGTCGTCTCTGTAGGCGCCAATGCCTAGGTCGACCTTCTTGGGGTCTTCATCGCGGCGGAAGGCAGCCATCAAGCCGAAGAGCGGGTCTTCGGGGGCCTGGGGGACGACATTGGCGTCGAAAGCGGTGGCAGCCATTGGTTCAATGTGAGAGGATATCTGAGTAAGGCGGGATTGTGAACAAGTTTGTTGTGAAGGAGAAGAAGAAGCAGAAGAAATAGAGGAGCTAGAGAGCTTGGGAATAGCTGAGTCTGGCATGATGGCGGCGTATGCTTCACCCACGCCGCCAGCTGCGTTTCACCGGCCGAGGGGCAGCTTGGAAACCTTGTAAGCCGCTTCCGCACACGCTAACCCCGCAGTATCGACTTGGATTGGCCCGAGACAAAGATGCGGAGAGACGGGGAGGCCGGGTCGAGACAACAGAACTAGCAATCCAAACCGTAACGACTGCACCGGTCAGCTCTTATACCAGCTTCATGTTCCGGACATCTGCTCAGGGTCTTGTGAGCAAGCCGAGGCACATGCCCCGATGATGTCAGCCACACACTGCTAGTACCGCTTCTCACATGCCGCCCGCAACATCAATATCATGTCCGTCATACACAGTCAACTAATTTGGTTTGAGTTGCGACGGTAGACGGTCCGTTGTGGGTCGCGTCCCTGCACACTTAGGTAGGTAAGTTGTAACATAGAAAACCAAACACGCCAAGAAGGCGCTAGTTGGCGCATAGGCTATGACGCTACTCGGTATACAGATAGCACTATACTACACATTCCGACAGTCCCATTCAGTTTCTTACGCCAGACCCCAGGGTGGGACCAGTCGCCAAACAAAACATCCGTCATCTACTTAACAACACTTATACTAGGATAAGTTAGCTTATTGTCCAGGTAAAATGTAATCGTAAGAAAGACTTTGAAAGTTATTTCAACTCACATAAAGAGTGCACCAATGCCCTTCATGTCCATCTAGATCCTTCTCAGTGGTACAAGCTGCATGACCCCAATGCGCTTTTGTACCTGGACCGCAGCGGTCCACAAACCGTTCTTCATAGGTGCTCCGCTTGTCGCATTCGGAGCATAAGGCTTTAACTGAGAAAGGTTGATATCCGCCCGCCGTCCAACATGTTAGAGTGCTCCTAACTGTTTTGCGTAGGTGTTGGGCGTGGGCGAGCGACACGGTAAAAAGGGTAAGAAGCAAGGTAGCTGTAGAAGCCTTCATGATAGCGGTTTGTAGGAATTGGTGCGAGGTGGGAGATGGTAGGTCTAACGTGCCTGTCTTGGAAAGGTAAACTGGTACGTTAACCACCTTGCACAAAAGACAGCTGCCAAAGCCTCTTTAAGTATGACACATAAGAACATGTACGTAAGGGCCAAGAGTCACACCAAGCACCGGTAGGCGAAAATGACACTCGTGTGGCACGAAGTAAGCCCTAGCAGGAAAGCCGACACGAAGTGATGATCTACCATGGACATCCTCATGTCATCAAAACTATAAGTAGTCAAGCTCTCCTACAGTGGACATCTTGAATAGAATCTCTTACTATTGTTCCATGTGGTGTTGGGGCGATTCCTGTTGTCCATCTTAGCAAAGACCTTCCATTTGTACCAAGGTATATCGTTAAAGTGCCTGAATTCCGGACTTCCGGACCTACCCGATCTTTTCGTCATCAGAAAACACGGGACATGGACTTACTGTGTCTTGGAGATCTTTGCCGTGTACTTCTAGCTCCCTTGCTCTGTTTCGACATTCTTCTTACGTTGGAAAGAAAGCCGACTTTTGAGGGTCAAGCTTAAGCGGTTTGGATTTGTACCTTTCCGGCAATGGAACCCGGAGTGACGCTCGCGGAGTTATGTAGGCGATTGATCCCTCCCGGTACTTACTCCAGAAGAGGTAAGGAGGGAGGATCAGAGGTGCTTCCAACAGGAGGTAGAATCTGGCCAATGGTTTTCTGTAGGAGTTGGGAGGTACGGTTTTCCCTTGGTTGAGCTTGTCCAGTGTAAAACCCAAATTTGGTGTGTATCCGCACTCGCTTCGGCGAAAAGCGTCTTCATCTTCGCCATAACAACTGAAGATAATCTCGGTTATAAGCACGGGGCCATGGCACCTTTGAAAAAGTCCAGTAATCAGGAACATCATCTAGCGCTAGGTATCTTACGTCTTTGATCACAGTCTAGGCGAGGTGGAGGCAGTATCCAATTGCGAGGCGCCGTCAGTAGTGCGAGGGAAAGGGAGTGTGCCTTCCCGTAGTATGTATATCCGACGAATTTATTTGGCTTTCGCAATCTTTGTCTCTACGTGGAGGACATAGTTCTGCTCTTCAATTCCTCGTATCTCGATAGCTGCGCGCAAAACATGGTACAACATGATGCGGTAGTCTATCTCAATCCTCTCTTCTGATATTCCGAGGCTATATTCTCGGTCCGACGCCTGGAGGATTATGTGTTTCGCGGCTTATCAGACAAAGTAGAGTCCGACGCCTCCGCTCCGGAGCTTCCGAGCTGCGATGAGCTCTCTACAGGCGGAATGTGTCTGTTAAACTTTCTACGTGATTGTATCTACTTGGAGTTTGTTGACCTCTTCTTTATCTTTTATATCTTCAAGCCGCGGCCTATGTCTGACGTCGTTGGTGTGGCATTATCAGGGGAGCTGTGGTAGTCCCTGCCACCTAAATATCATACTATTACGTCTTTTTTGTTGCTTAGGCGATGTGAATGGATTATGTCATACCCACATGTCAGACATTTCTGCTTGCGGGCATATGTCCACTCAACATGTAGCGGTTACTAACGGACGTGTTCGCGACTTCTTCACATATTCACATGTTGGGTATCCACTCATAACACAGGCCCACGCCTGAAGCTAAATAAACAAATCCCACAAAATGAGAGTGCCACAGAAGACAGTCGTGGCCCAGAAGACCTTTTGCGCTGTACTGCCTCTCTCCGTCGCCCGCTTGAGCTCCTTGTTTCCGCTTCCGACATTCTCCGTCGTATTGAGTGAGTCCTCGACTAGCTGATCAATGTGGGCAGCCTGTATGCTGAGGTTGGTTGCGAGAGTTGATTGCAGTTCGGCAATCTCTGTGAGCGACTTCTCGGTTTGGCTGTACGCGGTTAGTATGCGTCAAGGGAGGTTGTATAGTAGTGGTACGTACCGGACTTTGTCGAGTTGGTCCTCGTACTGCTTGAGCATGTCCTGGTTTTCCTGCGCAAATAGCTGGAGTTGCTCTGGGTCGAGCTGGTTCTCAATCACCGCGCTCGACTCGTCCTGTGTGTATGTCGACTTGGCCCGATAATCTGCAGACTCGCCTCCGACACTACTGCCACCGTTCATACCGCTGTAATCGGCTGCTCCTGGTCCTGTAGTTCTCGTCTTATACAGAACACTTTTGCTCTTTTCAACCTCGCGCATGAGCCTGATCTCCATCATGGCGCTCTGGAAGCGGCCACATTGCTCGAGCTGGTTCTGCAACGACCATATTATGCTCTCCCGATGCGCTTTGATAGTATTCGCCTTGGTCTCTTCAATCTCCTCCTCGACACTCTTCGCTGTGATTGCCCCGCCTGCTGCCCACCGTCCCAAGGCACCCAGCCCTTGTTTCGCCCGCTTCTTCAGCGCAAGTTGCTTCTCTGTCGCCTGTCGTGCCTGTTCGGCGATTCCAAGTCGCTTGATAGCATCATTCAACTGGTTTATCGATAGCTTTGCTTGGGCGTCGATTTCGTTACGTTGCGCGTCGGTGAGGTATGCTGAATCATGGTCGGCCGACGTGGACGAGGTACTTGTTGTGTACTTTTTCCGGCGGGGAGGCGGTGCAGTAGAGAGATAGCTCTGCCGTATGTACCTAAGGTCTGTGTGCAGTTTTGCAATGTGCGTGCGCTGTATCAATTAGTTGTTGTTGACCAGAATCCTGCAGCGCGCAACGTGTCCTACAATACGATATGCTTCTTTCACAAAGTCATCCAAGGCTTCGACCCGAAACACGTGAGGCTTAATAGGACGCGCATCATGCTTTGCTAGCACCTGGTTGAATGCGGGCGTAATGTCCATTGTGTACGTGTGTCGTCAGCTTGTGAATGACGATGCTCCCCGCGGGAATGCCATGCTGGAGTTTCGCTTCCCAACCGGCCAATGACGCACTTTGGTCCGACCACATCGATACCCCACCGACTTGTTGTCTACCACCTTGTCCTTCCGACCCGAATGTAATGCTACTCGATGTAGCCATTATGACTAGAAGGCCCCTCCAAGATATGCATATCCCAGCCAAGTAGACGCTACCATCAGCTGCAACACGCTCAAGGCATTCGGCTATCTGGACGAATGAATACGCGTCATTCCTTCTCTGCTTAGCTCAGGAATACCTCTCCTTCTTACACGTGTTCCACTGGCCCAAAAAGAACGTGACGATGGTGCCATATCATGCACACCATCTAAGCAAGAGCCATCTGGGGCTGACTCTCCAGCATTCCGACAAGGCTATCCCTACACACCCGATTGGACACCTCATATTCGGCAACCGCGAGTGCATCCGCGAAGTCGGGAACTCATGACCTTGCGCCCGGAACGCCTAATACTACTACCGTCTTCATGTCAGACATATCCTGAGCTTCAAAGCCAATCCACTTTGACCACAAGACACACCTTACATCGGACTTACAACAGGCGTGTCTCCTTGGTCAGGAAGCCCCTTGGTATACTGCACAGTCATTGGTGCTACACAGCACCGGTCCCAAGGTCAGCTTATACTCAGGCAACCAATGGTTGTTTATCAGCCGCACAGTGACCATGAATAGACTCTATGCTAGCCTCGCTTGATCTGTACAGCCACATTTGTCCGTTGTTTGTGTTGCATGAGAAGTGAATAACTCACGTTTCTATGCTTCGTTCCTGCTCTTGATGTTCTGAGTGGCGCCATAACCAACACTTTTCGCCCCTTCTTGACCATATAGCCCCCATTTCCTTCTTCTCCTCTCTCTCTTTCTCTCTCTTTCTTCACTGTCTCATTACCCACCCTCTTCTTCACAAGACCAAACACAACTCCACCAAAATGCGTTACACGACCACCATCTTCGCTGTCTTCGCTGCCGCCGCCATGGCCGCGCCTGCTTCCCTCAACGTCCGCGGTGACGAGATCTGTACCCCAGTATCCTACACAATCTCCGACTACACCCTCACCACCTCGCCCATCTCCGGCACCGTCGACTTCACCTTCCAGTCTTCCTTCTCCGTCGGTACTCTCGATGACCCAGTGCAGTCCGGTGCTCACTGCGGCGCATCCGGCGCCTCAGTCCCCAACTCCAACGAGTGCCAGGTTGCCAACCGTCGTCTCCTGTTTGACCTTCGTGGACCCCAGGAGCAGGCTTACTACCAGATTACTCATACTTGGTCTTGCAACGGGTAAGCCTTTCTGCATTTAATTATCACCATGTCTTCAGCTTTAACTGACGTACCACAGGAGCACTTGGATGTCTGGCAACGCTGTCAGGATCGACCCGCTCAACTGCCATACCGAGGGTGAAAGCCGTGTTTGCACTGGTGGTCCTCAGACTTTTGCGCCTCAGAACGTACGCAAGATTTGCTCTACGCCTACTTGCCCGACGGCTTGAGGTGATACCTGCGGTCCGCAAGGATGCTTCCGAGTAGAGTTTCTTCTCCTTGAGTGCGGTGATTTGCATGCAGTGATATGTGCATAAAAGTAGTATAGCGAAGGCTCTGTTATTAGCTAGATACTAGGAATATCTAAATCAAGCGAATGATGAATGAATAAACGATATGATTACTCACTGTCCACTATCTCGAATGTAAGGCTTACATTATGTATCCTGGTGGCGGACCCAGTATTGTGATACGATGACGTGACCAGTACCGTTCAGTTCCTCTAGGTGTGGAGCCAGCACTCTACACAAATGTAGGCACACTGGGTACGTACCATGGTTACCTCGACTAGGAAGAGTGAAAACATGTTGAACACAAATGAGTTGTACCTTGGTTAGGACTAAGATTTTTCTTTCCTTCGTATCTTCTTGTCTATATATCTAGACACAGATTCCCACACAAGCTCCAACACTCATCTACAACACTCTCAAGCCAAGAAGATATTCTGGAAGATCTACCAGGTTTGCGATACACGCATTCTCCTACACCAAACTGAAAATCCACACCCAACACCTCCCACTTCTCCGCCAAACATGTCACCATCCTCAAAACCCTCACTCTTCTCCCCTCCCACCGCGCCCTCCTCCTCACTTACCCCACCCGCACCCTAGCGCGCTGGCTCTACAAATCTGCGCCGCCCTACTCCGCTCCTCTCTTCAACCTCCGCCCCTCTCCACAAACCTACTCATCTCCCCCACCAAAACGCATACGCATCCTTTGTATCTCCGACACACACAACGCACAACCCGCCAACCTACCCGCCGCGGATATCCTGAAACAAGCTGGCGATCTGACTGTGAATGGGACGTTAGAGGAAGTAAAAGAGCAAGTGGAGTGGTTGAGGGGGTTGGAGGGGTATAAGGGGGGTAAGATTATTGTTGGTGGGCATCATGATTGGTGGTTAGATGAGGAAGGAAGAGATAAAGAGGAGACTATTGATAAATATGGTGAGGGAGACGTTGGGTGTAGCAAGGGAAAAGACGGAGACGCTATGAACTGGGACACCATAACTTACCTCTCCCCGTCATCTCCAACCACGACAGTTACAATTCACAACCGCAGCCTACAAATCTATGATAGTCCTCTAACGCCCAAGTACGGCAACTGGGCTTTCCAATATGCACCTACAACAAACCCTTGGACCGATATCCCGCGCTCCACCGACATTCTGATAACCCACGGTCCCGCAAAAGGTCACCTAGATGCCGCTCCTCCGAACCCTACTTTCTTAGACGGTTGCGCGCATCTACAGAGCGCGTTGTGGCGTATGAGACCATGCTTGCATATGTGCGGGCATGTTCATGCCGCGAGGGGAGTCGACGAGGGGGATTGGGGTTGGTTGAGGTGGGGGTATGATAGAGTTTGTCGTGGGAGAGGAGGGGTAGGTATGATAGTTCGGATGGTGATGGTCTGGATGGCATTGTGGGTGTGGTGGGCACTTGGTGGGAGGAGGGAGAGTGAGATTGTGAGTGTGAATGCTGCTGTTGTTGGGGAAGGGAAGGGGGGGTTAGGATTGGTGGAGGAGAGGGTGGGTGTTCTTGTTGAGGTTTGAGGGGTGGGATTGGGTGGATGATGGGAGATGGAAACTGGCGAGGCGTTTGATGGACGAGAATATAGGGCCAGTAGCAGCTCCATGGCTCCATCTGTCATGTCCTGAAATTCACGATTCTTTGCGCCTACAAACACCCGTTCTCGTCCATTATTGCCATATGACTTCTCATGGGCTTTACGAGTCAATATTGCCATGACTAGGTTGGCGACTTGCTCGTAAAAAACGGCTGAAAAATACGATATGCTACCTGCAGGCGCATGGGAGCCGTTTGACAGTTGAGACGTGTAGGGGTGTCCTGGTCGTCCTAATCCCCGACCTAGCTCTTACGACCCTTTCTTTTTTCTGCAAATGCCTAATGATCGAGCCGAGGCAGCGATATCTCAAGCGTTCATGAATCGAACACTCGTTCCTTTTGCGGGTAGTGCATTTACCGCACTCTAATATTAACCCTGGTGTAGTTCTGCGTGTTACAGATGTGTGCTCGCCCACGATATTTTCCAAGCGAGAGTAAGCTGCGACAATGTATATGATACGGTACGCGCAAAAGCAAGGACGATGGTATATACCCGGCACATACAAGCTTTGCAAAAGCAAGATATTTCCGCGATGATATGATCGACTTGCGGCGGCGGGTTGGACCGCATCGCACCGCACTACACGATCGAATGTACAACCCCGACCGAGCCTTGAGGTTACGGCCGTGAAACCCAAGAAACATACCTATACCAGATGGCGCTTGGGCATTGCAAGCGCAAGCGATCAATGGAAGAATAGAAGAGCCCCCACGTGAGCATGCATGAAGCTGTACTGGGTGCCTGAAACACAAGGCACTACGTTACCTTGTTCTTGACCAGGCTGCAACTGTCGGGTCTTCTGGAAGTCGACAAGAAGAAACCCATTTCCAAAGTTTCAGCAATACGTCAAGCTCCATTAACCTACGCCTCTGCCTTTAAGCGCAGACATGGTAGCTGATCCTTGAGTCCCGGCAAGACGAAAAGTGGGGATAGAACCTTCGTGTTCATGCGCGCCACCAAGCTCCACAGAACAAGGTGTCTCGGTGGTCGCGATACAGATCGTGTTTCGAGGGTAAAAATGCACCAAACAATGACGGTAGACAGAGCCGGTGTGGTGGGTCTGACAGCAAACACAGAGAATAAGTCGCGTCCAGTCTGACGCTGACGTGAACTAAGGATCGTAATAGTTCGTAGTTTTTTGTCTTGCATAAGAAGATAATGACATGGATGAAATGAAGCAAAAGCAGAGTATAGGAGAAAGGGTATAGCATGAATTTCATTCATGACCGTGCCCGGCGCAACGGTAACGGTAGAGGACCCGACGGCAAGGAAGTGTATTTGAGATGCGAGTGGTTTCGAAACGTTGAAGCGGATTTCATGCGGTCCACATGCCTACAGTGACTTCATTCACCTGTACAACTTCCAATAGCGCATCTCACAAAGGTTTTTTACGCCTCCAGCTCCGGACTGCTTCGGCTACTCCTGCCCGGTATTGAGTTGTGCTTTGGGCAATCGGAACGACGAGATTCTTGATATCATCTATCACACGCTGGCCTTTACTTTAACTGGCAAGATGCCGTGTTGGATTTATCCGTCGCGGCGGAAGTCTCGTTGCGATATGACCGGATCTGTCGGTGTCAGCAAGTCCTTTCCTGATACGATGGCCAAGCGACAAGAACGGGCATCCCCGTAGTGAGCAAGTCAAACCGATGCCGCAGCGGTGGCTAGACTAATCGATCGGCAAGAGCAATATTCCAGACTTCGTGTTCGCTGCTACAACGGCACTCATGTCTGAGTTTGTTGTGCGGCGTGCCTCTGTGATGCAGAACATCACGGGTCGTATTGCATCACACACGGCTCCTGGATAGACCAAAAATAGCAGTAGCACAGGCAGCCTCACCTGCGATTTTTGGGCAAGCGGGCAAGCAACAGGTGAAACGTTAGAGCGTCGATGGGGAACTACTGGCATCGACCTTGGCCAGACTAGGAGATATGAAGGTTGCTACCAGGCGAACTGACGACACGATGGCAGAGGATGCCAATGACGCCAACAGGTGATCACTGGGGCACAGACAGGGGTTGGTGGCATGGGAGAGTCAGGTCGTTTGCTGAGGCTCGAGCCGGCGAGCAGAAGACGAAACTGGCCGTCTCTGCGCCTAGGACAAAGTTTAGCGAGGTGAAGGAGTAGTAATGGTAGCAGTAGCAGTAGTGAAGACGGGAGTCGAAAAAACAATAGTGAGAAGCGGGTACGAGGCCGGCAGAGGGAAATGCAGGATGGTAAATGAGGGAAGCGCGTGGCTGCAGGCCAATAAAAGGGTGCATCGCTGAGACGGGGCGCGGAAAGAAGACATGTAATAACACCGGCAATGCAGATATCGTCGTTTCCAAGCCAAGGTAAGAAAAAGCAGTATGCATCGGCAGTGACAGGTGGGAAGATTGCTGGTTATTGCCTGGTGGGCAGCAGCAATCAAAGTTGATGGGTACTGTAGGCGCGCAAGGGCAGCTCGGTGCGGCGTCAGCGTGGTGATGGATCATCATCATTAGCATACGAGTCGCATGTGGGACCCCGTGTTATGCCGAAATGAAAGGCAGGGGCAGGGTTGGAGGCGCCTTCCCCCATTGGCGGTGGCGCCTTCCCACAGGGCCGTTGCGCTTTCCCCCATTGGCAGGGTGCAGGCAGCTCCTTCCTCGCGCTTGACGAGGCTCAGAAGTCGGGAGCAGCGACGATGTTGGGGAAAGCCGTGCAAGATCTGCAAACACGCTTAGTTTTTGTCAAACAGGAGTTTAGTGCTGCAATGTGATAAATGACTATGTATTTACCTATCTCCAATATTGCGTCGGGCAGCCGGGGGTGATTGTTACCCATGGCTAGTGCAGTTTGAGCTCACAGCCTTCTGCACGACGGGGGCCTCGCGGCCAGATGCAAATTAATCCACAGAAGCACCATTCGTGGCGGGCGCAATCTGGTCTGCCTGCAACACAAGGCGGTCCGAGGCAGTCAAGTAGACTTGCAGCAGTCGCAAAGTTGACGGTGGTCTGATGGTAAAAGGGTACTGGTACCAAAGTTTTGCTCGCTACAACAAGCGCCCTCTATCGTGCAAACTATCGAACGCAGAGGCCCGCCGCCCGAAACCCTGCCGTTCCCCATGCTGTTCTCCTGCAGGGGAGCCCCACGTTAGTGACTCGCAGCCCTTTGCACTTGCCCGTTTTCGCCCTTTGCCCCTGCCTCCCGTCGTTTTGGCCTGGACACCTGGGCGACATCTGCTGCTGACGGCTGCGCTGTCCCTCTTCTTCTTCTTCACTACCCGTCGCCCACGCTCTTAGCCGTCACCCTCTCCACCCTCTCCGCCGACAATTCCCAACGGGCGCATTTTTATATCGACTTCTGCGCATCCCCCCCCGGCCGTGGCTCCCAGTGGCTTCCCCCCCCTTCGACAAGCATCCCTCACGCCGTTGCCCCAGGCCTCACGCTCCCTTCGACGATTCTCCGAATCACGACCGCTCCTTCCGTCGCACTTGACTCTTCGTCACTTCGTTGCCTTTTCTAGTAATCCGTCAGTCTCGCATCGAACGCCGTCGCCGCTCGTTTTAGCACAGCACAGCTCCCACGACATTGCGCTCCGCCCCCACAGGACCCTGTCACGACACGCAAGCTTCGCCCGTTGCCCAGGAACAAAGAAAACCACGCCGCTACCCAACTGCGCTACCGCCAACGTCTACGAGCCCGTACCATTGTCCCCAAAGCCACCACAGGAGCTGTGCATTGATCACCATCCAAAGCTTCTTTGTTCATCATTTCTTCTGTCCCGACACGTTCGACCTTCTTCCCTGCAACTTGGGTCTGGAACACGCGACGACCACTTCTTGCGACCTGTCACTGTCAAACATGACGGCATAGACTTGCGACAAGACCGAATTACTGCAAGAACGCTATAACAGCACGCTTGTGGCCCCCTCTATTTCTAGCTGCACCGACAGTCTAGTGAGTCACCTGGCCCGGCAAAGTGCATAGCGCTGGAAAGCTGACTTGCAACAGGTCCATTCGTTAACCACTATTGACAATCGTCAATTACACTCGTTTACCATTGCCCTGACCGTATGTTTGTGCCCTCAATTGCAACCGACATGTCTGACAACCACAGGCCTCGACGTATACCGTCTTCCACCTATAATAATACTTAGCGTCGAAATATAATCGTAAACATGCCGCGCTCAACTACAGTATGGGCGGCCGCCTTCCTCCTGGTCAGTTTGTCTGGCTCCGGCCCACTGCTCACAACAGCAGAGGCCATGCCAGCACCCGGTCCCAGGGAAACAGGAAATCGCCCTCGCTACTACTTCCCGCGACATGTCAAGCGACAAGTCGTCCGTGCCAACGAGACGACGACAGCGGCAACCATTCAGTCGTCGACGTCGCCTTCCCCGTCGTCCCTTCCCACAACAAGCGGCTCCTCTGAGCGCCTTGAACTACGCTCATCCGACTCGGAGTCGAATGGCTTCTCATCCTTTGTAGAATCCCTATTCCATGGAAGCACCGACGCAGGGCTTTCGACTTCGGCAAACGTCGCCAGCACCAATGAGGTTGATCAGCCGGCGAGCAGCGTCAACCCTTTTGCTCCCTCCTCGCACACACCCTCGTCATCGAGCTCG